TAGATTATTCACCTTCTCTGTGTTCTAACATTTTACACTATTTTTTTTTTCTTCTTAAGGCCCCTCTTCCCAAGAGACAGAGACTATCTCCACCAGACCTCACATCTGTTGCTTGTGTGCCATGTTCTGACCAGTAAGATAGAATCAGAGCACTGCAAGCAGAGATTTGAAACTACCCTTGTGCAGTGCCAGCAAGTGGCAGTGGTTAAGGCTCTCAAGTCCCACGTGGGCCACTGCAGTTCCAGTCCCACCAGGCAGTTTAGGGGTCGGGGGTGGGTATGTATGTGTGCGTGTGTGTGCACACGGGGGCGGGGGGGGTTCTCAATTTATTTCTGTCTCTGTCTGTCTGTCTTCCCCCCTTGAGCACGCTCCCTGAGAGGGTGAGGGGAAGCCCCTGCACCTTTTGAGAGCCCTTAGGTACTCCTACCACTGCCCGAAAAAGGACAGGTTGGAGCTGGCGAGCTGGGAGAAGCGCGGGCGGCAGGCGTGCGGTGTTCACAAGCACACCAGAACACAAGGGTTCAGGAGGCCCACAGAACTGCACACTTGGTAGCATTTACCAAACTAGAAATACAATAGAAAACACAAAGATAAAAAGTAGTAAGAGGTAAGAGACCTTGAGGAACGAAATGTGACTAAACAAAGGATCTAAAACTAAATAAAACCGGGCTGGGGCCAGCAGATGGCGTAGCAATTACGTCACTGGACTCCCAAAGGGCCCGGGAGTTCGAGTCCCAGCAATGGCTTGGAAATCGCACTGTGTGCCCAAATCCCAACGGGAGACTGGAGAAGAGATGGCAGGTGGCCATCCTCCGTGAGGGGGCAATTTCTCACTTTCCCTCACACTCCAGCAAGCACACGTACCTAAGGCACAAACCTCTAAAAAATTTAATTAAATAACTATTTTACAAAAACAGGATCAAAGCGGCGCTGGGAAAAAGTCGGCCACTGGCCTCCCGTGGCCCTGCTGTCCCGCCTGCGGCGTCTGTCCCTTCCCCGTGACCCTCCCCCCCGC